GCAGCGATCGTGGTGAGGGTTCCCAAGGCCCCGTAGTAGAGGTAGGAAATGGCGTAGAAGCTGTCTGCGATGGCCGGCCTGCGGGGGAGACCACTTTGTGAGATGCGTCAGAAACAACCGGATGCCGTCGGTCCGTTGGCCCACCCAGCTGTGTCCTCCAGAGGCTTGGCTTGGCTCTGGGCAAACCACATCCTAACCCTGGTCATTCTGCTCTGGCACAATAGCAACATGGAAACTCCTCGTAATTTTTCACAGCACGCAGCAGCCAACATTCCCTACCCCGCTGGCTGGGGATTCTGGGGTTTGCAGTCCCCACAGATTGGGAAGGCCTCTGCGTGGGAAAGCCCCCTTTCGCCTATTGTGTGAGCAAGGGGGTGAAGGAATGGAAGGGAAGGGCACAGGAGTTAAACCACAGAGTGTGCCAGGAGGGAGCAAGGAGAAAACCCAGAGAAGATCCTTGGGGAGGGTCGGAAGGGTGCCCGGGGGAAGCCAGCCTCGGATCGCGGCTCTTCGGGCAGGGCGAGACGGGCTTCTCCTCCCATGCCCAGCTCGGCGCTGGGCCTCCTTCAGCCCTTCCCACTCACCTCTCTGGCTGTTCAGAGGGGGGCAGTGGGGGCAGCGGCCCATACACCAGAGTGCTGTTTGCCCCCTGGGAGACGTTGTAGAGCGGGCAGAAGTCTCCGTAGGAGGGCAGCACACCCATGATATCAGCGCTGGGCGGGTAGAGGGTGCCCCCCACAGCTACCCAAAAGGAGAGGCCAAATCCAACGCCGAGGCCGGAAAAAACCCCCTGGGAGAGAAGAGGAGCCTGTGACTGACCCCAGCCAAGTCTGGGCTTGCTGGGGAGGAGGCCTGGGTGCAAAAACGGGGGACGGGACCTGCTTCTTTATTTCACAGCTGACTCTGCAGCGAGGCAGGAATGGGCTCACCCAGAACTGCTTCCTCCCAAGCCCCAGGAACACTCCAGCCTGAAGGGAAAGAGGGGGGCCTCGGCTCTTCCAGGCAGGTTGCCAGGTTGGCCTCTCCTCATGCTTCTTGATTTCCCCCCAACCCCAAGAGTCCAAAATGGTCCCTCCGTCTGCACTGCTTGCAAAGAAAGGAGGAACACCTGGGAGGGAATTTTTTGGGAGGTTAGCAAGACCTGAGAGAACAACCCCCCCACACACCTCCCAGGAGCACACGTGCAGCAGCTGCGCTGGACTCTGAGGCCTGGATCTTGCCCTTGCCCCCCCGCCCCACTGCTGTTGCCACTCTCTGCTGGCCAGAACCTGGCAGACCACCAGCCTTCCTCCAGGTGGGACTCACCACAGTGTTGCAGGCAGGAATGAACATTCCCAGGATGAAGGCGCCCAGGAGGGGCCCGCTGATGACCCCCATGACTGTGAAGGAGCCCTGCCAGAGAAGCACAAGAAGCAAAGGAGGTGGGGCATCAGAATCAGGGGTATCCTCGCTGTTACCGGCCGAGAGCCAGGCTCTCTCCCCCAAGACACGCGGGCCCCGGGTTGGGGATGGTGATGGGGCAGAGCGGAAGGGGAACCGAGGGAAGGGAGGAGGGGTGTTGTGGGGGAAGAAGAGTGGCTGGACTCCCTTCAGCCATGTGCCCAGTTCATTCACCAAAGGTTACGGGGGGCGTCAAAAGATGCAGCCATCATTGGGGTGGGGTCGGGCCCCGAGGGAGGCTCAGGGCCAGGAAACCTCACCGCTGCTCCCATCCTTGTGCTAAAGTGCTTATAAATAGACCCCCCAGATTCAGAGAATGGCAGTCCTTCCATCTGACCCCCCGGCCCCCCATATGGCATTTCCCTGGATGGGCAGTTCCAGGGAGGGTCTGTGCTGCTGTTAGGAGAAGCAGAAGAGGGAACTGTCAGATCGGATCAGATCCGAAGGAATTGATGGCCGGGTGCAAAACGGGTAGCGGAGGAGGGAGGCGTTGCGGGGGGGTGGGGGGGCTTGCTCTCCAGGAAGAGCTGCGTTACCTGCAGCACGCCGCCTCCCAGCAAGGACGAAAGAGCTGCGACCGTGATGCAGGCGGTGCCGTAGATTAAGGCTAAAAGGAAACGGGACACACAGACTCTGCTCAGCTGAAAGCAGAGGAGAACTCTGTGCGTGTGTGTGTGTTCGATGCACTGGAGAAACTACTCTCTTATGTGCAGCTGGTGAGCAATATCACACCACTCACTACCCAAGGGCTGTTTAAACAAAATTCTAGGGAATTCGGGGGGTTGGTCCACCCCTCTTAAAGCTGCTGAGGTTGAGAAACTCTGGCTTAGAGACCCCTGCACCGCTTCACCTGGGCTGCGTCGAAAGCGGTGCAGGGGTCTCTGCGGAGGGACAAACCCAGCGGCCCCTTCAGGAACGAGAGTTTGTGGCGCTCGGAGCTTCCCGATAGCTAGAAACGCCTGAGATTTTCAAAGCACCTTAGAGGTCCCTTAGTCCCTCCCCGTTTAATGCCGGATCCAGGAGAGCATCTCTGACCGATGGCCCCCCAGCCTCTCTCTGAAGGCCTCTGGTGAAGGAGAACTCGCTACCTCACGTGGCAGCCTGTTGCGCCTCCTTCCGGTACGCTTCACCCGCTGGTTCTGATCCTGCCCTCGGGCAACAGAGGATAAGTCTGCTCCCTCCAGATATTCTCACTGCTATCCTACCTCCCCTCCGACCTGCTGTCTGCAGACTAAGGGTGCCCAGCTCTGTTTCTCTGGCAGTACCCGTGACCCGCTCCCCTGCTGCTCCACCCCCAGATTAGGGAGTTTCTGGGCAAGCTTCATGCACCCTCCCTTGCCTTCTCCCCAGAAGCTGGGGAGGGGGCTCTCAACCCCTTGGGCCTTGACGTTTGCACCCCTCCCTCTTCTGTTTTTCCTCCCAGAGAAAGGGAAGGCGGGAGCTCGGCCCTCATATGCCACCCCCTTTCCAGGGAGTCCCCCGCCTGCCACTCACAGAGCCCCTTGGAAATGAGGGTGAGTTTCCGTGGCGACAGGGTGGGCATGTTCGGCTTGATCAGGTCCTCCACAGTGACGGCCGCCATGGCATTGATGCTGGTGGAAGCCGTGCTGCAGAAGAGGAGGGCGAGAGGGCGTCAGGGCAGCCTGGTGGGAGCCTGGGGCCATGGGCAAAGCCTCTGCCCGCCACGCCAAAGGCCTGGGCAGGCCCCGAAAAGGCCCCAGACGGAGGGCAGAGGTGCTGGCGGCGCAACAAGGAGCTTCCTATAAGCAATGAATGGGGAAGGGCTCCCGGGCTGTGGCCGAGGTCACGCTGGGCTCCACTCGCCCCTCGGCTTGCAGCCCGGCAACCCACACCTTCTCCCTCCCCCGCTCAGCTTTGTTGGCACCTGGTACAGGGCACGGAAAGGGTCTGACAAATCCCCGGGAGAGAGAGGGGAGATGTTCCCAGCCAGCCCTGGGGGCTCTGATCTGGCTGCTGTGCAAGGTCCAGCTGGGGAGCACGGGTGTCCGCAGGGAATGGTCAAGATGGCAGCCGCGACAGTTCCATCAAAGTTCCACCTCTTTCTTACGTGTGCCACATATGTAGCAGGTGGAGCTTTGACTGCACTGTTGCAGCCATCTTGACTTTTTTGACTTCCCTACAGAGGAAGGCGACCCTCGAGTGCCCAGCAAAAGGCACTGGCCTTGTGGGGAGCAGATCAGACTGACCTCAAAGTTCCACTGTAAGCGCAGGCCAGGAAGAGGCCGGGCACCCCAGGGGAGTGCTCAAAGATGTCCAGGACCAGGTAGGGCATGTACTGGGGATGGAGAAGAAGCAGCCGTGAGTCGGAGGGGCACAAAGCCCCCCTTGGCGGCTGCTCCCCAGCAGGGTGGCGCAGTTGCGCATGGGGGGCAGACAAGGGAAGAAGCTCAAGGTGATTCACGCCAAATGGGAGACGATCTGAGCTCTCTCTTATCCTTCCTGGCTCTGGGGCGCCGTTTGGAGAAGAGCTCACGTGACTCACCAGCGAAAACCAGGGAGGGTCTCTGCAACGGGCAGAGGATGACGAAGGAGCCTGAGTGAGATCCGGGGGCCTTGTGGGGTTTGTGAGCGGCTGGGTGATCCTGGGCAGAACCCCCAGGATCAGCTCTGGGCAGTGAGAGGGAAGGGGTCTGCCCTGATTTCTCGCCTCCGCTGACCAGCCTTCAGCCCTGGGACCACATAAGTGGCACAATCTGGGTTTGCCTCTTTTCGCCCGGGGGGGGGTGAGGCAAAGCCCCCTGGCGCAAGGAAACAAGTGGCCTTGGCATCTGCCTGCTCTTGGGCCCCCAGGCTCCTCCACTGAGGACCACTTTTGCCAGGTGCCCTCCATGTCCCTTGGCGTTCTGTTTTGGTCGGCTCATGTAACTCTCCTCTGAGTTCCCTTTGCCCGTCCAAACTCCCTCCCTGCTTCTTCTGCCACGCTCCATGGTCACTGGTGAAGGGACTGGTACCTGGTCAGGCGCCGAGATGTATCCGGCCAGGAGCGGGTCACAGTCCTTGTAGAGAGCAAACATTACAATGCCACAGCCCACTGCGCTGGAGACAATGACGAAGAGGCCCACTTGGTTGACGAGGAGGGCGCTGGAGGGGTGGTGGGGGAGAGCAGAGGAGCAAGGAGAGAAATTAAGCCCCCGCTGGGAGGAACCTGGCCCTTGGATCAGCAGGCAGATTTCTCCTAGCCAGCCGGCCGCAGGAGCACTTCTTTCACGCATAACACATCAACTGCCTCTGTGAACACTGGAGGGTCCATGAACAAGAGAGTTTGTGCATCTCACGGAAAGGCCCCACCGAGCACCTGCTCTAAGTCAGTCTCCGGGGATACCAGGAGAAGCCGTTGCGCACATCGTGCGCACAATGACCCAGGCAGCGCAAATCGTGTAACTCCCACCGTTTGCATGATGTGCCCCCACCTCACCCCACAGATGCTGACTTTGATCGGCCAGTGCCAGGTTCAGGGCTGAGTTGTCCTCCCCAACAGCAGTTCCTGCTCACCTGCCCAAAATGGACCCCCAAGAGCCTGGTCAGCTCTTTCTTCAGAACCACGAGGACGGTAATCTTAAAGTTACGCAGTTGCCCACGACATGGAGAAGGCCTCCAGTCAGACTCGGGGGCGGGGGCTGGGAAGACCGGCCCTTTGCAGATTCAAGGGAGGCCGCTCTCCCTCACTGCCCCCCCATCTCCCCTCTGCCTCGGTGACCCATGGTCCAGAGCACCCGGCCTAGAAGGAAAACTTCCCTTTATCGGCTCAGGCCGATAGCCCTATGACCCCCGTGAGCTCGGGGGGGCTCCTGAGGAGGCCACCAGCTGCCTGGCCATGTGTGTACACACTCAGGTGGAGGAAAGGGGAGGCAACTGGCTGGGGCGTGGCTGCCACTCTGCCAACACCTGCAGCAGCAGGGGAAGAAAAGAACTGGAAGCCGGGAACCGGCTGCAGGCGATAAGGAGGGCTGCAGTCTCGCCAACTGCCTGGGAGGACGGTAGCTGTTTGGGCTCCGGCCAAGCCGGCCCGGCCTGTTCCGGAGGCCCAAAGGCACGGCAAGGGGGCCACCATGCTCAGCTTTGCCACGACTCCAGGTGCTGCTTCTGGAGTAGCCGCAATCAGGGCTGGCAGGCGGGCAGGCGGGCAGGAGACCGGTGGCCTGGGAAAGGCCGCCCGACACCTGAGGTGCAGGGAGGGGGGAGGGGGGACTCAACCTTTCCCAGTTTGGGGCCCTCCAGGTTGCACCCGGCCCTTGATCTGCTGAATTTCCAGACGTGGGGTGGAAGCCAAGCTCTTTCGCTCAACTCACAGTTTCGCCTCTTTCTCCGTCTTGCAAGCCACGTAGCGCTGGACTTGGGCCTGGTTGACCCCGTACATGGACAGCCAAACCAATGTCCCTCCAAAAAGAAAGGTCCAGAAAGTGTAACGGCTGCGGGGGGCCAGGCTGAAGCTGGAGGGGCCCCAGAGAGAGAGTTAGAAGGAAGTAGTGCCCCCCCCCCCCCCGGTGTACCTGCTGTACCAAGCGCAGTGTTGCTAGACCTCACTGAGTTCTGGACACACACACACGGGAAATAGGGGTTCCCGGGGGAAGGTGCTGCAGCCTGATACTTCTTAGAAAGGAACTTATCTGTCTGACTTCCAGTGAATGCAAATTCCCCCCCCCCCATTTAAAAAATAGATCTAAGGGGCCCACCTTGAAACTTAGTGCTGGGAGATTCAGGCAGGAGCAAGGCAAGAAACAGGGTGGCTTTTCCACTGAAAAGGACCCCATTAGGCATCCTGGGGCCCACCCTTCCCTCCTTTCAGTGCAGTGTCAAACCGAACTGACCCCCCATTTGCTCAGTTGCCTTAGTGGGAGATGCGTACCCCGACTCACCAAGCCCTCCCCCCACCAGCCCAGATGTGAGGAACAGAAAGTGGGAATTTGGGGGAATCGGCAGTTGCTGCATGCAAACATTTGGCGCTAATCCCAAATTGCGGGAAGCAACGACTTACTCTCCCAAGTTGATCCTGGAGTGGTTGTAGGCGATGGAGAGGACTTGGCCCGGCCCCCCAGCCAGGAGCGTGCCTTGGATCAAGACGGCCACAAAGCCGGAGAGCATGACGAAGACCTGGAAGACGTCTGTCCAGATGACCGCTTTCATCCCACCCTGGAAGAGAGGGGGATTCTTGGCAGCTCAGCCAGCTCTGAGGCGCCTGTCCAAGCTTCACTTTTCCAGAATTGCTGAGCTCTCCAAGCCAAGGGTTCTCGGCAGGAGGGAAGGGCAGGAAAAG